GGGTCGGTGGTGCTTGCGGCATTGTCTGTCGGTCTCGGTTGTCGGTGGGCGCTGGTGGGAGCTGCTGGTCAGTTGGAGGTCGTGCTTCTTGCGGTGGCATTGCCGGTTGTTGCTGGTCGCGAGTGGGTCGCAAAGGGCGCTGCTCGTCGGTTGGGGTCGGTGTTGCTTGCTCTGTTGATGGTCGACGGTTGTCGGTGGGCGATACCGGGCGCCGCTGGTCGATTAAGGCCTGTGCTGATTGCGATCGCAGTGCTGGTCGGTTGTGGTCGGCGGTGGGCGCTTGCGCGCGTTGCTAGTCGGCCGGTTGCGGTGCTGCTTGTGGTGCCGTTGGTCGGTCGCGGTTGTCGTTGGGTCGTGGTTGTCGGCGCGCGTTGGTGGTCGTGGCGCCGTTGGTCGCGGTTGTCGGTGGGTCGTGGTTGGTCGGTCGGTCGCGGTTGTTGTCGGTCGCGGTTGTCAGCGGGTCGTGGTTGGTCGGTCGCTGTGGTTGGTGATTGTGGCGCCGTTGGTCGGTTGGGGTCGGTGCTGCTTGCGGCGTTGTTGGCTGGTCGTGGTTGTCGGTGGGCGTTGGTGCGTGCTGTTCGTCGGTCGGGTGCTGTGTCTTTTGTGGTGGCGTTGTTGGTCGTCGCTGGTCGTTGGCTGGTGGCGGTGGGCGCTGCTTGTCGGTTGGGGTCGGCGCTGCTCGTTGCGACGCTGGTCGGCGGTTCCCGGTGGGCGCCGTTGGTCGCCGCTGGTCGGTTGAAGTCCGCGCTGCTTGCGATGGAATTGTTGTTCGGTTGCGGTCGGCGGTGGTCGCTCGCTTGCGCCGTTGGTCGGTTGGGGTCGGTATTGTTTGTGGTGGTGCAGTCGGCCGGCGGTTGCGAAAGGTTCGTGGGCGCTGCTGGTCGGTTAGAGTCGGCGCTGCTCGCGGCGCTGCTGGTCGGTGAAAGAAGTCGGTGGTAGGTGCTGGTGGGTGTTGCTGGTCGGTCTGGGTCGGTGTTGCTTTTGGTGTTGGTCGTCGGTCGGCGGCGGTAGCTGGTGGGTGCTGCTGGTCGGGTGAGATCGGCGTTGCTTGTGGATCTGCTGGTCGGTGCTGGTCGGTGGTTGTCGGTGGTGGGTGCTGGCGGGTGCTGCTGGTCGGTCTGGGTCGGTGTTGCTTGTGGTGTTGGTCGGCGGCCGTCGGTGGTCGCTGGTGGGTGCTGCTGGTCGGGTGGTGTCGGCGCCGTTTGTGGTGCTGCTGGTCGGGTGGTGCTGCTCGTCTGTTGTGGTAGTTTCCTCGGTAGGTGCTGGTGGGTGTTGCTGGTCGGTCTGGGTCGGTGTTGCTTGTGGCGTTGGTCGTCGGTCGTCGGTGGTCGTTGGTGAGTGCTGCTGGTCGGGAGGGGTCGGCGTTGCTTGTGGTGCTGCTTGTCGTTGGTGGTCGGTATTTGGTGTTGGGTGTTGCTGGTCGGTCTGGGTCGGCGCTGCTTGTGGTACTGGTCGGTGGTCGGCGGTGGTCGCTGGTGGGCACTGCTGGTCGGGCGGGGTCGGCGTTGCTTGTGGACCAGCTGGTCGGTGTTGGTCGGCGGTGGATGCTGGCGCGTGCTGCTGGTCATGTGGGGTCGGAGTTGCTTGTGGTGTTGCTGGTCGGTGGTTGTCCGTGGTGGGTGCTGGTGGATGCTGCTGGTCGGTCTGGGCGGGTGCTGCTTGCGGTGTCGGTTGGAGGTTGTCGGTTGTCGCTGGTGGGTGCTGCTGGTATGTCGGGAATTGTTTTTGCTATGTGGAAGATGCATGCTGATACGTCGCCGTCTGTTCGTGCATAAGCCTTTCTTCCGCCTCCAGTGCTCCGCTTGTAGGCGGATGTCGGCGTCAAGGCTGCAAGTCCTGAGGCTGCGGTTCCTGAAAGGGGGTGCAAAGTTACACTGCCGCGTTGGTCTCGCATCGTATTCTGGAAGACACGGGTATTCTCAGCGGGGGGCGGAGGGAGGGAGGGGAAAGAGAAATTCAAATACCCGATTGCGTTTAAAAACCTACAGGACTTCCAGGTCCGGTCTCAAACCGCGCCCTCGGGACTAGTTTTTTGGGGGGCCTTTGGCATCCCATTCACGCATTGATTGGGCAATTGGCACCTTCACCTCTTGTCCCCGCCCTGCGTATTCCACCTCCCCGGACGTTATTTTAGCCACCATTTTCCCCAGCACCTGTACCACGAGCTCGTCCCTCAAAATTTGATTATCTTCAAAAGGGATGCCCAAAAGACGGTTGAGGTGGTATTTGACGAAACCGAGCTGCTTCGTATCCCGCCGCTCCGTCTTCGTAAGGTTTCTGTGAATATTACGGTTTGTTCTGGGGTTCCTCCTGGTAGTCGGGGTGGGCTGTCTCGCATCAATGTGTGGAAGCCGCTTTTGCTCGCAAGTGTCTGCAACTCTATGTATCCGACGCCGGTGGGGTCAGTCATGCAGCAGAACACGTTGTGCACCCAGTCCTGGTAGTTGCGTTCCTTGGCTAGTTGCGTCAAATACCCGACGACGGAAACTTCGGAGGCGTCTTCTGAAAATCTGGCTGCCACAGGTTGCAAGTTCTTGTTGTCTGTGCTGGGACTGCCTTTCATGCTCTCGACTGCTTGTTGTAGTTGTTGTACTTGCAGAGCTGGGGCGTCAGTCTTGACGTGAAGCGCTTGGAACTCGGTAACGTTCGAACCCTTGATGTCGTCGACCTGGTGCTGCATGCCTTCGAATTGTTCCTCATTGGCCTGCTCGTACTTCGTCCTTCGCTTGTCCATGATGCTGCGCGTGCGCTTGGACATGGCATCGACGATAGCCTGGTCTCTAGGCTCGAATGCTGGCTCCTGATCCTCATGCTGTCCTGTCTTTGCGTGTTCGGCTAGCGGGGTGAAGCCGGTCGCGGCCATTGCCTTACGCATGCCATCCGAGGGGCGCTCGGGCGAGAGCGACATGATGTTGGAGAGAAGTAGAGATGGTAGAGAGAAGTGGAAGTGTAGAGTGAAAGTGTAAAGTGAAAGTAAAAAGCTCTGGACCGCACCATCTGAAAGTTTTTTCTGTGTTCTGGAAAGGTTTAGGAAATTCCTCAGAAGGCCGGGGGACTTCCGAACCTTCTGAGAAGACCTTTTCCTTCTCCCATCCCCGCCTCGCTCGCCGCCGAATGATGGCATAGCGACCTTACGCGGTGGCTTACGTGGGCCGCCACTGCGTCAAAGCGTGAGCGACGAAAAGGAACGCGTCTTACGCACGATGGCATGGCGACCTTACGCGGTGGTTCACGTGGGCCGCCATTGCGTCAAAGCGTGAGCGACGAACTGGAACGGGTCCTACGCATGATGGCATGGCGACCGTACAGTCGGGGCGTTGACCTAAGGAACCCTAAATAAGGAACGAAGCCCCTTCTTTGTCATAAGTTTACCTTCGACGTCCCACCAAAAACTTCAGGAAAACATTGGGCAAGGTGTGGAACGATTAAGGAACACCGAGCCCCTCCCCAACGAAAAGGGTTCCTTCTTCAGCGCCCCGACTCCACGTGGTTGCTCACGTCGAAGAAACGGCACGGGCCTTACGCATGGCGGCATGGCGTCCCCACGCGGTGGCTCACGTGGGCCGCCGGCGCAGAACGCTCCAAAAGGCAACGGAGGCGCCGACGCGCGACCCCTCACGCGGGTGGCTTCCGCGCGGATGCCCGCGCAAAATCGAACCCGCTCTTTGCTGCCTCGCCCACGCGGCTCCCCGGAGGCCTGGCCTGGGACCCCGTTTCTCGGCGCCGACTTTGCACCACGGGCCGTCCCTTGTGAAGGGGCCCTAGGACACACCAATAGATGCACACAAATGAACAGATTCCCCGTAGTTTCCAATATGTTCTGGGTTTATGTCTTCCACTTCCCATATTTTCCCATATTTTCTGGGGAATCGACGATTCATTGTGCCTGTGTTTTTTTCCCTCCTGACCTTGAAAGCCCCGAGGCCTGGACAGGGCCCCCCGGAGACCAAGAACTGACGAAACCTTCCGAGCCCACTCTGCAAGGACGAGCTGATGAAAAAGCAACACACGCACAAACCTCTAGGGAGGAGGGCGGGGCAAGGGCAAGGCAGTGAAGGCGCTGTAGGTATGTGTGCGAACTGTCGGAGTCGGAGCCAAGGAGGGATCCCAATTCGAGCGGAGACCACCATTCGAAGCCTCGCTGCTATAGGCATCCCGACGCTGTCGAGATCCTCAGATTGGCCTGCGCGGAGCTAAAACTGAACGCTCATGATTCACGACGCGGGGATGTCTGGGTAGTTATGGGGAGGGGCAGGACCCAGACATCCGATGATTCGATGTGCTGTTCGTTGCGAGGGGGCCGGCGTCTCCCCCAGATTGTTCCTTGATGGTCCCGGGACCCGGCGACGGGGGCCCCAGAGACCCCAATCGAGGAGAAGCAGCCGGCTGGACAGACAAAAACTCACATCGCCGGGGGATCCGGGGAGGAGGAGCGCGAAGAGGGGAGAGTAGGCAAGTACTCGCAAAGCAGCTACTCGCAAATGGCCTGAATCCGCCGCGGGGGATTTACGATACACCACGTCGAGGCAACAAAGTGTTTCTCGGGCGTCTGCGAGTAGAGGCACTTTGCGAGGAGTGGAACGCGCGCGGTGAGAGAGGGCAACAGGAGCAGGCAGGCAGGCGAGATCCGGGATTTTCTGACCCGGATCAATCCAGACCCGGGTCAGCAGGAAACCAAAAAACTGCAATGCAGGAAAAAAAAAAAAAAAAACTGCAACGCAGGTCTTCGCAAACCCGGGTCAGCCAATAGGCGCGGCCGCCTCGCGGCCACGAGCGGCTCGCTAACCCGGGTCAGCCAGAGGGGGTCTCCGCAGGATCTGGCGCCCTGGCTGACCCCCGTCTCTTGGCTCCCGACGAGAGACCTTATCATGGGGCCGGGCCCCCGGGGGGGGGGGGGCAGCGGCCGTGCACGTGCCCTCGGGCCGACAGGAGGGCCCCCGAGAGGGGGCGGCGCCCTGCCAGCGGGCCCCGTCGGCGCACCGGCCTCGGGGGGCGGTCTCCTCGAAGCCCTCGCACATCTTCTCGAGAGTCGGCATGAAGGTCTGGGAGGGGCGCGGGGAGAGAGAAGGGCGAGGAGGAGGAGGAGGAGGAGGAGGAAGGCGAGGAGGAGGAGGAGGAGGAGGAGG